GACAGTGCAGTGTTTGTGCTTCACTTCAGGTTATTATGATCCAGAACAGGGTTAGCAGTATAATGCTAATGTGGTTGTGTTTGAATAGAGCTGGATATACCAGTGGTCACCAGCAGACCACCATTATTAAAGACTGTAAACGCCATCAATCATTGCTCTTTGTGTAATGGCATGTGGTGACGTCACACACTAGAACGACACAGATCTGATCTCAGAACAGAGTCTGTCTCATAAAGGATCTGATGCCTGTTTCGTTCATCGTGTCATTTCCCGCCCTCTTGTGGCGGCAGCAGGGATTGTCTCTAAAGCTAGCTTGACCTCCGGCCGTTGTATCTATCGTTTCTGTCACTTTGGCGGGTGACAAAGACCGGAGCCTGTGAAGAAGAGAGGGCAGCAGCTTGACTCATTGAAACGCTGTTTGTAATGTAGTGTTGTGATCATGATGTAAAGTCTGCGGTTCAGTCTGGAACATGCAAAACGTTTTGGCTCATCTGTTTGATGAAGGACTAGTTAGTCACAGTAACTCACCAAGATTCTTTCTACTCTCTTTAAACTGCACATTACTCTCCCTGAAGTGTTTTGTTCCTGGGCTCGTTTATCATCTTATTTAAAAAGAGAGTCTTTGAAGAGGAAAGACAAGCGCTAACGAGCATGCTAACTGATGCTAACTGTCAGCTTGTTAGCTGGGTTCACACTGTTCACTCAGGACACGTATTTGTACCACTGACTGTCCTGAAGCAGCAGCTCAAGCTCCACCAGAGGAGGTTAAAGAAAGAAGATGATGACAGAGATAAAAACAGCCGCTGTCTGTTCCCTGTTTATAGATTTTAAAAAGCAGTTGACGTCCTGTCTCCTCTGTCTCTGTCTGACAGGAGACATATCTACTCCTTCTGTCTCTGCTCTTTACCCCTGTAATCTTTGCCTCTTTATTTCTATACTTAACACACACCCCTGTAACTGTACACTGAGTGTGTGTTTACCAGCACTCATGTGGTCACCCACCCACATACATGTATGTTCTCACACACACACACACACACACACACACACACACACACACACACACACACACACACACACACACACACACACACAGTCTAAGTCCATTAATCAGATTAGCAGGCCAGTGTTGGGTCATCTCCTCTGGCTCCTGTCGTGTCTGGACTCAGACACCAGAACCTGCAGTGTTCATGTCACTACAGTGTGTTTGCATCAGGTTTATTTGAGGCCGCACCAGTAAACACTGGTCACACACATCCTCGTGGTGTTGACCTGTTTCCCCGCAGAGATGTGATGTCACAGCCTTTAAAAAAGATTCAAAAATACTGAACTGAAAAATAGAAACCAGTGAACAGTGGAAGGTCTGGTGTGACTCTGTCAGCTGTTCTAATTATGTTCAAGTGTTTATGTGGTCAGTTCATTGAGACCTGCACACTCACTGTGTCAGATTAAACCTTGTCCTGCCCCAACAGGTGCAACACCACAGGACAGTCAGGTGGTATAACACCTGTGCCTCGTAGTAAGAAAGGCACAGGTGTTACATTACTGCTGACTCTGTTATATTCAGGTGTCCCAGGAAGCCCTGACAGTGTGACAGAGAACCAGCCGCAACAAAACAGAAGTAGCTTAATGGAATTCAGCCATCATTAGTCTTATTCATCACACCTGTGTTTTTCTCACTGTGTTGCATGGAAAATGCCTGTTTACCTGAAATCCAGGTGATCTACAGGATGAATATTCCTGCTCGGATTCTGTTGTGTGTTCGTGTGGAACATCAGCTGGACGCTTTAAATGCCTGAGATTTTCATTTCCCAGTGGAAGGTGCAGATCGTGGCGTGTGAGCAGAGCTGAGGTCGTGAGGACCTAAATAACCTTGGAGTCAGTCAGCGTGGCATTAAGGGGATTATGGTCCTGGCTTTGTTTTGGGCCTGTGGTTGTCTGGAGCCAGAGGGAGGACTCAGCTCTGTGTTTTAATAAGGCTGGTTAGAAGCCATGTTGTTCCAGCCACTGAAACAGTGTGGGAGAGACGAGGGTCTCCAGTTCCCAGGAGAGACGAGAGAGTGAAGAGAGATCATGAAAAGATTAAAATACTTCAGTGTAATAATCAATATATCAATAATCATTCATGCACAGTCAGCATGAAAGGCAAGGAGCAACACCAGAGGATAAAGTGCCGTGTTAATGTGTAACTGCTTCCACTTTCATTATTGTTTGAGTCAAATACATCTAGTGATCAAACTTCTTTCTTCATTGATAAGTTGATTAACAGGAATAAAGTCATTTATTTTTCTGTTTCTGTTTGTTAGTAATTTTAGCAGCTGATGGTGAGATGAGACATTGTGCTCCATTAATGCAAAATCATAATTGTGATTATTTTAATCAGTGTTGAGATCTGGATTATGGAACACACTTACTCCTTGACTTGGAAACACCATCATTTATTGAACTTTGTCTTTTTAACAGACGACTTTCTCCAACTTTAAATACAATTTGACAGAAAAACTAATTAGATGAAAAATTAGATAAATGAATAAAATAGTAAATAATGTATGATATCTAAATATATACAATTGAATATAGGCCCAAATTATAAAAATGAAAACAAATAAATTTGATCAAAATAAATAAGATCAACTTCAACACACCAACCCAGGCAGCAGCTTGTAGAGAGTAAAGCTAACATCAAGCTCTACCAAAAAATGATTCAATGAATAAATAAAAAAACAGATTTTGTGCGCCGGAACATGAGCAGGAAGTGGATGGAGGGATGGTCATCCCCGTGGCACAGTCATTACCTTGTTTTCATAGTTGGAAGCCAAAGTCATAATGGACAATAAAATCAGATGAAGCGCTCGGCCCTCAGAACAGCTGAGTAGAAGTCAGACCAATCCTGACAGGTGATGATGTCACTGTCGACCTCAGTGAAGTCCCGTCGGTGTTTGAGACGCAGAGTGAAGCGTCGTTCTGTGACAGCTCTACATTCAGAATGAACCTGAATGAGACCGGCCATGTCAGCCAGTGTTTCCACAGGGAGCTGTGCACCTGTCTCCAGGTGCAGGAGGCTCAGTGACGTAGTGAAATGCCTCCTTGTCACAGCCTATCGAAGGAACAGTGTTCGCCTGTTGAGCCTCAGCAGACTCTCAGTGCAGAGGGAAGTGACTGAGCCAAGTCACTGTTGATGCTGGGAGTCGTCACGTGTCCAGACGCTGTGGCTGAGTCAAAGCACACATCTGTTCAGACTGTCTTTGAAGTGTTATGAGATTATTCTCTGGGTAATGAAACCCTTCAAACGTTCAGAAAGTGCAGACTTTATATCTCCTACTGTCACCACATAGTTTGACTTTATTAGATTTTTTTCTTTCTACTTAAAGCTGAAATTCACCAGCAGAACAAAGATGGAGAAAAGAGAGAGAGAGGCTGAGCCGAGCGGAGAGGTGTTTAGAGGACGGAGACGATCTCAGAGGAAGAGACAGAAAATGACAAATGTCACATCACAGCTCGTCAGTGACGTGTTGTTCAGCGTACAGTCGTCTGTTCAATGAACCCAGAGTAGCCCCATGAAACCCCTGCTGCACATTATGTCTGCACAAAGACACTCTTTCTCACACACACACACACACACACACACACACACACACACACACACACACACACATTCACTGAGCCAACAAGTGCAGAGGAAGTTTCTGCCCGGGGCGAGAGCTTTCTGAAAGGAGGGAAAGAGCAGCAAGTGAAAGTGGAGTGATTTGCTAATGAGGCTCTTATCCCCCCCCCCCCGTTTCCCGCCGCTCCCTCTTCTCTGTGGCTGAATACATTTGGTGTGATTGTCAGCTGCTGATTGAGGCTCTTAGGCTGCTGCTGAAACAACACTGCAGCGTCTCAGAGCTGCTGCTGAATATTATTCATTAACCAAACCAACGTGAAATCAAAGCTCCATTCAGAAGAATACACTTTACACCTTCTTCACCTCCTCTCTCCGTCTCCGTCTCTCTGCCTTCAATGGATTTAATAAGTGGAATGAACAGGATGATTTTACATGAAGAGACCGTTTTGTTTTTGACCTCTGGGACACGTGAAACTGTCGAGCTGCTTCTCGTCTTGTTGGACTTGATCGTCCAGATGAGTCAGCACAGGGCTCATGGATATTATCACTAACTGAAATGTAAATATCACAGATCATATGAACAGTGACGCACCTCCACTGCTGCATGAAGACTCTTTACAGTGCTTCCTAAACAATTCCTCTTTAGACTTTTACTGCTGCAACATGTGATTTCAGTCAAATCTCCTCTTACTAGGAATCATGATCCCATCATATACACACACACACACACACACACATATATATATATATACACACACTCATACATTAAACTTTAAACATCAAAACCTCAGCTTTGTTTTGCTCTGACACAAGTTCACCTGAGAGGAGATTCAGTTGGACCACAGTCTGCAGACACATGCAGAATAAAGTGCACGTGTCTGTAAGCAGCGCTGAGTAAAAGAAAAGAGGTAAACACAGGTCGCACGACTCAGCAGCAGGAAACATGCAAATAAAGAGTCATTTTACTGGATAATGTTCTCATCAACAAAATGTTCTGCCTCAAACCGGCTGTAAAACTTCAGGATATTTGACCTCAAGTGTTTATTTCTCGAGTGAATACATTTAAATCACATTTAAAAAGCTCTGGGATGGAAACTGAGTCTGAGTTTGTCTGAATATTTAATGGCTGCTGTCAGAGAACCATAGTTTGTATGAATAAACAGACTGAAGAGTCCTGGCTGTTTTCAGTGTGTTTATGGGTCTCACTGGGTTTTACTGGATTCCCTCAGAGTCTATTTAGAGTCCGGCAGGGAGGGGAGGGGCAGGGAGGGGCAGAGAGGGGCGGGGCAAGGAATGGGAGGGGCGGGGAGGGGAAGGGAGGGGTGATGGAGAGTGACGGAGAGAGACGAGGTCTGTATCTATGAAAACTTGAATAAACTTTATCCCCCTCCCTCAGGGCTCTGGTGTTCGTGGCCCACGGGGCCGCGGAGCATTGTGGGCCGTACGATGAGGTCGCACAGAGACTGAAGGAGCTGTCCCTGCTGGTGTTCGCACACGACCACGGTGAGTCACAAGCACACACCTTACACTGCGTTAATGCACGCATACATGTACACCCACGCTCAGGGCTGCTGTGTGTTAGTCAGTAGTTCACATCTTCACAGAAAACCAGACTGCTCCTCTGAGGACGAAGCCTGGGAGACACAATCAATTAGGCCTGGTGGTACATGGCTCTATTGTTGTCCTGCTGCTCCTGTGTGTGTGTGTGTGTGTGTGTGTGTGTGTGTGTGTGTGATCTTACAGATGTTAGAGATGTGTAAGACGGGAACAAAGTTTGTGAATGTTGGTTTGTTGTTTCCATCAGAAGGTTGAGTCTTGTTTTTAGCTTAGCTCGTAGCAAATGACTGTGAGTCTGTCCTCCTGTAACAAACCAGCCCACAGGTCGTCTGTCAGCAGGTTGTTATGACATCATAGTTCGGTTCTGTTGCTAGGCGACATCTAGTGGTCGTAGTAATGATGACGGAGCGAAGGGGAAGGTGTCGGTGACAGAATAAAGAGAGTCCACGTCAGGAGGAGGTGGTGGATGTGACACAGGAGAGCGGTGCGTTCGATTCCCGGTTTCTTTCTATTATCCCTGACAGTTTGCTGTTGTTATTGTAACCATGACAACAGAGATTGTCTAATGTTGAGGAAGTGCTTACTTTAACCCAAATCACCATCTTTTCCTTAACCTAACCAAGGCATGACCGTTACTATAGTAACCTTGGTGACAAAGGTAGGTACACCACTCTCTGTAAAGCCTGTGTGTTTATTATTGTAACCATGACAACTGAGGTCCAGTACACCTGCTGCCGTAGGGGCACTGTTTGAGGAGACTGTCGGTCGATCGATCAATCGCTCTAAATATTTCCTCAATTATTGGCGGGAACATTAAAGAAACGTTAATGTTTCCCAGAGGATGAACTCTGACTCATCAGGTCACATTTTTTATTGGTCCAGTATTTTCTGGAAAACATTTCCATCAGCGTCAGCTCTGTTTTGGGTTTAGCGTAATTAGCAAAGATGCTAAACATGTTAGCCTAGCTGCTAAACATCAGCATGTTAGTGTTGTCTCTGAGCTAATGCTCAGACCTGCTGCAGCAGCTGTCGACTCAGAGTCTGTTCTCATGAAGAAGAATGTTCTGTGTGTTTTTTCAGTCCATATTTAGAGAAGCTGCTCGTGTTTCATCATTTGTTTTTGAGAGGAGAAACAGCTCGAGGAAAAGAAACAGGGGCAAAACAGTTAGCTGTTAGCTTGGTGCTAATGAGGGAAAGGCTCAGAGGCTGTGAGGCTGTGTGTTTGTACAGGGCAGGTCTTAGATACAACAGGAATGTGTGAAGTCATGTGACTGTGCTGCAGAGAACATGTTGACTAACTCTGAGTAACAGAGAGACAGAGGGAGAGTCTCAGCTGCAAATGTGGAAATATTTACAGAGGTGAACGTGAATGAAGAGACGACATGATAAAAGAAGGAGTGAGTGATGAGACGCAGGCAGCACACAGAGGAGCAGTTTGTTCACAGGCTCACTGAGAAATGTCACACTGTTAATGGAAAATACTGAACTGGAACAAGCCCCTGTAGACGCACACACACACACAC